GCATACTCTTATCAGTGTCATGGTAACCTGGAAATGCTCATTAGGGGTATTAATTTATACTTAATCATTATATTAAAATCTAACAATACCACCAGATGGTAAATGTAACCCAAGAGACACATCTTCTAGACCAGCATGATAATTTATAACAAATACCGTACTGGGATATGAGATGACTGGCAATGCTACTTTCCAGCTCTTTAAAGCCCAGTTTGGGGTTCAAAATGGGAGAAAAGCAAACAACAAAATACTTACTACTTTCTTTCATCAGAGATGAGGGACTACCAATTAATTAAAAATAAATGTTTCTCAAGCTTATTTTATTTTGAATCCTGGTACTTGAGGAAAACCAAAAGATAAATCCAAATCTGTCAAATGATGGGGACCTTCTGGGCAAAATTCAACAGACAGCAATCCACATTTGCTGATTCTACTTCCTCTCTTCTCAGGCCTGGTCTGCAATCTGCCTTCTTCCCTCAGAGCACCAATGAAACTGCTCTTACGATGTTCAGAAAATGACCTCTGCAAGGGGCCAAGGGCAGGCCACCCCAAGATGTGCCACTGTGGCCTGCAGAGTCTGTCGGAGCTGAAAACAACCTTAGGCCCAAAAGACTCAGAAAACCACTTTGACCTTCTCCTACCCCCAGCTGCATAAAAAGAATTTGTATGAAGGAACTGCTCCAGGAGGAGAGCCATCACCCTAGATAACTAACTTATAATGTGAACTCATGTAGTCAACAGGGAGGAATGTGGCAAAGTCTTTTAAAATTCTTCTCTATGTCCCATTGTTTCTGTGTGGCTCAGCAAACATTTGTTTCCCAAACATTTACTCTTTCATATTCCTGTGAATTGCTTCCCTTTTCCTTTGAAGTCCCAACCCCTTCCCCCTTCTCCTTAGTTCAAGATGACATACATACCTCATTGTTCCTGTCTTTGAAATCTCATGTCTATGGATTCTCTATCGGTATGTAATTAAATTTGTTTTTTTCCTCCTGTTAGTCTGTCATATGTTAGTTTGATTCTTAAAGCAGCTAGAAGAACCTCGAGGAATAGAGGAAAATTCTTCTTCCCCAACACCTCCTAAATGTCAAATGCAGTCCTGTCCTTTGTATAAACCTTGGGTCAAGTGTCACCACCCTGTGAAGTCATCTTTAATACCCTACTTGGTGTGTAACTCAAAGCTTGGATTAATAAAATCACGGTGTCCTCTAACTGTCTGCTGCCTCACTGGACAGAAGCTCCTGGGGACTAGGTGCCCCCTTTCACCTTTGAACCTGTAATGCTTGACATGTGGTCAACCTGTGGAATAAAGAAACTGAGGGCTTGCTAGGTTACCTAGGAAAACCCAGTTAACATACATCTTCTGTGAAGTGCTTATTATAAGAACAAACTAAAACAACAGAGGAAAAAACCTGGAAAGTTTCCAGGGAAAGTTTTTCTTGGTTATAGAATGAAGAAATCTGCCACAATTTCAAGAGGAAAATTCCAACATTTGGATACTATTATTTCACTAAATTGTCTTTACCTCTTTAATATTAAAGCCCAAGTTTTAGGAACTTCCCTATGAAAAATCACATTTCTTAAATAATAGTAGTAAATGAGCACTCAGCAACCTGCATGCCAGGAAGAAAGTTCTGTTTTTCTGCAAGTTTTTTAGGTTAATTATGTCTGAAACATTTTAGGGAAGAGAGCTCATAACTGTATCCCAAATGCATAGGAATACTCCAGAGTGGCTCACGATCTTACTCTGGACAAAACTGCTTTTGAGAAACCAGGGCAGTGAGCAAATGATGACCCACCTGGGAAAACCTAAAGCTACTGTTTCTATGGCCATGGGAATCCCCTTCACCCTCCTTCACATTCAGAGATGACTGTTATCCTTTTCCAGTGGAGCTGCCCAGTATTACTTCTAACCCCATCCAGCACCCCCCCTCCCAGTTTCTTCTACTCACCCTTGCCTGGGGTCAGAAACTCAATTAGCAGAGTCACACAAACAGGAATTGGGAAGGAAAGGGGGAAAAACACAGTAATAAGGAGGAAAGGAGAGAAAGAAAATCCTCGGCATGCTAAATCCCAACCACCTAGCCCTTTCCTTCTCCTTATTACACCCAATGACTTACAGTTTTTCTCACAGGAAGCCCAGCTCCCCATTTCCTCATTCTTTAGTCACATCACCCTTTCCACAAACCTTGCTGCCTCAGACCCAGGGGATCCATTCCATTGACACTGCCCTGCCCAACCCACCCTGGCCAAGGCTCCCACCTCAGCAGAAAGCAGCTCAAAGAAAAGAGGGAGGCCAGTACAATAGTGGGTAATACAACTTGGGGGTTAAATGGGACCCTTCATCCCCATTGCCAAAACTGTTTCCCTGGGAAATACACTGTGAGTTCCAAACTACCATGAACTTACTAGAACACATTCCTATTTGGAACTGGGGACTACTTACAATTCTTGATAAATTATAAACATGTTGTTACAAATGTGTAAATATTAAGCTGTTGGACTCATGAAACAGCCATACTCTAAAGAAGTTGATCACAGAGGCTGCTCCCAAGCTTGGCATATGTCTGTTTACTAGTCCAGAATCTGGCTGTTTATACATGCAGACTGGAAAACCAGGTCCTTAAGCAAGATCCAGAATCTCTTCCCTGAGGGTTGAAAAACTATTAAGGATACTCTTGATATTCTCCAACAGGAAAATCTTAAACAGGGGTTCATTTGTATTTTTTCTTATCATTTAAAGAGCCCTAGGATGTTGGATCTGGAATTAATTATTCCAAGGCACAGGTCTACATTTCAACAGCCAGACTACCAAACAGGATTTTTACTTGAATCAACTCGGCTCACCTGAAATGTATACCCTATTTCTCATTTACCTTATTTCAGTGTGTTCAGGTAACCTCCTCAGGAAAGCCTGGATTTTGCTTTCTCTGCCTATTCAACATTGTTTACAAAAGGTACAACCTCCCAGGCAGGCAAACTTGTCAGTCTGACCCTGCGACTGAAGGCTTTTGATTCAACTGGCTCACTTTAGTAGTCTCAAGCCTAGCTTCACATTCCAGGCCGAAACAAAAACCTCTGTGGAAAGCGAATTCAAAGGCAGAGCTCACCCACTCTTCACCAGGCTGCCCTACTTAACAGTCTGTAACCTGTCTTGTGGCAAGAACCCTCTTTATGAATGCTCTCCAGCTGCACTGGCTGGCTGTGTGCATTAACTCCTTCCAACCTGGCTCCCCTGACCTGAAGAGCAGTGCCCTAATTGCATAAAAGCATACCAGAAAAATGACAATCTCCAGAAGTTTACAGCTGGTGTTAATGATAATGACAAACCAAAAAAATTTATACCAAGGGCAAGCCTCTATTTTCAAGGAAAAAACTTTATCTTAGTTTAGGATAGTAGCATACCATAAAGAAGCCAAATTCATTTCTCTCTCTCTCTCTCTCTCACACACACACACACACTCATGCACACAAACAACCCAAAAAGAACGTTAAAAGGACAGTACCAACAAGACTGTTCCATGGAAATAATAGCAAGCATGAATATAGACAATTTGTTTTTAAAGTTCAATATTTAACTCCAATTCTCTGTCAAAATATTTATACCCAGGAAAAGGATTTTGCCTAGTACTAAGGTTCAGAAAGCAGGCAGTTGTAGAAAGAATGCAGCTGGCTATGAGCTAAGCAAGGGAAGTTAAGTCTTTTATGGGTTAGAGGCAGAAGGGTAGAGCAGATTGCAAGTAAAGAAAAATGCTAGGAGAGCATCTGAAAGTTAAAAGAACTTAGAACAGTTTATCTTATTTGGTACACTAAGAATTTGCTTGACATTTTAATTTATTCAATCCATCCAATAATCCTTTTGCTTGAGCCTCTTCTATGTGCCATATATGTTAATATTTCAACAAAAGTCCCATGTTAAGACACAGTGCTCAAAGACTTGAAGTTAGTAACCTAAGAAGGATATGAAGACTTCGAAAAGGTTTTATGTGTTTTGTGTTAAACATAAAACACTTTAAATATAAGGCAAAGGCTCCCTCTGTGACTATGGAGAGAGAAGGAAGCAGCTGCAGTGGTCGCTTCCTTTGCCTCTTTTTCATTGATTTTTTCATATACCCAACCGACATCTACTGATCCATCCCTACTAAGCCCCTTGCCTGGCCTCATGCAAGACAAAAAGGTATATAACTACTGGAGCTTAAAACCAAACACAGAACTTCAGGCATACCAGTAACTAGTGATACCATAAGACAGATAATGCGTGTAAGGATACCACAGCATAAATGAGAGGTCAGAATAGGAAGTACACACTTCCCAGTAGGTAACTGAAGAAGCTTCATGAAGCCAATGATTGTTGAACTGAACCATCAAGACTGGGCAAAAATGCTGCAGGTATACCAGGGGTAGGAAGGATGTATATAGAGTGAGAGAGAAAAGAGAAGAGCCTCATGTTTCCTACATTTTTCCAATATCCATCTGAAGTCAGTAATTAGCCTTCAGTTAATAAAAAAGCTAACCTTCAAAAAGAAGTAAAATTTGCAAATTTAGAGGTTTTTACCTGACAAGGGCAACCACAGGTAAATTCATGGATTTCAATGAACTTCACAGATTTCTTACACCTGGCAAACAAACCTCACTGAACTGGCCAACTTCTTCCCCTAGGTTCCAGCTCTGACTCTTGACGTGGTGCCTTGGAGGCTCTGGGTACCTCTCTCTTCTTGGTGTTCCTTGTAGTAACTATACTACTACTTGTTCAAATTCCCTGAGTCCACTACTAAAATAAGTCAGCTACATCAAGCTTGCATAGCAAATACCCATTCCAACTATATGATAAAAGGAGACTGCACTTTGGAATAATTTAATATATGCTTCAGTAAGCCACTCTCTTAGCAAGCCATCTTTCTCCATGTGTGAGATTTTATCCTTCTCATAGGGGTGTTGAAGGCTAATTTCAGTGATCCATATGAAGTGCAGTGTCTGTCTGGCACCTAAGTATTTATTACCTGGAATGCTGACATCTGGGTCGGAGTTGCAGCTGTCCATCTGGAGCTTCATATGGTTCTTCTATCTCGTACACATTTGCGTCAGTATCCTCCAAGCTGCTGGAATTTTGCCTTTCCAACTCTGGAGTTTTCCCTACAGCCATAATAAATGGCAAGTTCTCATACTCTGGTATTTCCTCATAATGGCGTATGTTTTCATACTCGGGTGCACAGCCACTTGTAACAGATTTGCAAGGTGTGTGAGATGATGACTCCCTGGAGAGCAGCTGGTCATCCAAAGACTCAGCTCTTGGTCCATTAGTTGCACTAGTCTGACCTCGAGATTTCTTCCTCTTCTTTTGGAATTCTAGATTACAGTTATCTGCAGAATATGCCTTGATGGGTTTACTTTTCTTCTCTTCCACCAACAAGCCATGCCAGTCACTTTCAATTCCTTTTTGCTCCCCACCTGAGAGGCTGCCTGAGGCTGTGTCTCCAAGTTGGCTACTCTTGGACCAAAATTTCTGGAAGTCACTCTTCATGAAACAGATGGACAGCTTCAGGTTGAGCAACTTCCTTAAAGAGGTTTTCTTTTGAGAGTCTTTGCAAGGCTTAGTGCACCTGTCCATATCCACAGCAGATAATGATTTTGCTCTAGGCTTAGTCAGGGCAGTTGAAGGCTCACTATTTGAAGATATAGTTACAGACTTTAAGGATTCTGGGTTTCCTAAAAAGGGTAAAATGGGATGAGGTAATTTCCACACTGGCTTTTCTGAAGGTTGTTTAGGCATATCAAAGGAGGATGACATACCATGGTTTGAGGCACACAAATGATGAAGATGTTTTCTTTCTAGAGCCTTCTCTGAATTTTTTTCTTCATTTGAGGGATAAGAACTTCTCTCCAGAAGCTCCTCTGAGGCAGCCTTCTTAAGCACTCCTGCAGCAGGCAAGCTGTGTCTTTGAGGTTTTTTTGGGATAATTCTTGAGGAACTTTCATCTTTTACTGTAGATTCCTTTTGCATTAGAGGGGCAGACACTCCCAAGTTACAGGCAGTAGGCAAATGTTTGTTGCAAGTTAATTTGAGCTGCTTAGGCAGGCTCATAGATAGAGTACTGCATCTTATAAAACTGGTCCCTTTGTCCACAGGAAGTGACATACTAGAACCGTCTACTGTCTTGCTGTCAGAACTCAAAGTAAACACTGTCTCCATTTTTTCAGAGGAAGATGTGTCATGCCACATAGTTTTCTGTGAATTAACCAAGATATGTCTGTCATCATTGGAGTCCACGTTCAATTTACTTTTATTTCCTGGCTTCCCTTTGTCCACCTGTTCCTGGTAACACAGAACATTCTGATGAACACTGATTTTACTGTTTTTCAAACTATCTTCAGAAAGACAAGAAGAGTTTCTGTCTAAATTCTGTGGTTCTTCAGTATTTTCACTAGGAATATCTATATACTTTTGGCGTAACAGACGAGCAGCTCGTATCTTTCTGGGCTTGGGAGTTGGAAATCTGGGGGTATATGGTACTAAGTGAATTTCTAAGGGATCAAGATCTTTGACATCTGATTTCTTATTAACTCCATCTGAATACAAAAAAGTACTCCTTTTACCATTTTCCAGAGTTTCTTGTTCAGATGAATGAAAGCAAGTACTGCTTTTTTCACTTCCATCCTGACAAGTTTCAAAATTTTGAAATTCATCAGTAGGAAGTTGTACGTGGCAATGGTGCAGATCAGTAACTTTTTCAAAGCTGGACAGGGAAGGTGACAAATCCGCAAATTCAATTCTGAATTGTCTGTTAGAGTTACAGCCATCATTTATTTCTGTGTTGTCTATGGACACATGCTTCTGTGGAGAAATAAAAGGTAATGTTCGTTGTATTAAAACATCTTTGAGCTTCTCTTCTAGAACGCTTGCCTTTGAAACTACTCCAATCTGGCTCTTGATCTTTTCACCATTAGGATCATATTTATTCCTTGTTTTTAAAGATGAAGACAACTCATCAATTTTACCATTTTCTAAATTTTCATGCATTTCCAGAGGCTCTAAGATGAGCTGCTTTACACACAAATTCTGTCTCTTCCCAAGCTTATGGAAAGAAGGATATGAAGACTTCGAAAAGGTTTTATGTGTTTTGTGTTAAACATAAAACACTTTAAATATAAGGCAAAGGCTCCCTCTGTGACTATGGAGAGAGAAGGAAGCAGCTGCAGTGGTCGCTTCCTTTGCCTCTTTTTCATTGATTTTTTCATATACCCAACCGACATCTACTGATCCATCCCTACTAAGCCCCTTGCCTGGCCTCATGCAAGACAAAAAGGTATATAACTACTGGAGCTTAAAACCAAACACAGAACTTCAGGCATACCAGTAACTAGTGATACCATAAGACAGATAATGCGTGTAAGGATACCACAGCATAAATGAGAGGTCAGAATAGGAAGTACACACTTCCCAGTAGGTAACTGAAGAAGCTTCATGAAGCCAATGATTGTTGAACTGAACCATCAAGACTGGGCAAAAATGCTGCAGGTATACCAGGGGTAGGAAGGATGTATATAGAGTGAGAGAGAAAAGAGAAGAGCCTCATGTTTCCTACATTTTTCCAATATCCATCTGAAGTCAGTAATTAGCCTTCAGTTAATAAAAAAGCTAACCTTCAAAAAGAAGTAAAATTTGCAAATTTAGAGGTTTTTACCTGACAAGGGCAACCACAGGTAAATTCATGGATTTCAATGAACTTCACAGATTTCTTACACCTGGCAAACAAACCTCACTGAACTGGCCAACTTCTTCCCCTAGGTTCCAGCTCTGACTCTTGACGTGGTGCCTTGGAGGCTCTGGGTACCTCTCTCTTCTTGGTGTTCCTTGTAGTAACTATACTACTACTTGTTCAAATTCCCTGAGTCCACTACTAAAATAAGTCAGCTACATCAAGCTTGCATAGCAAATACCCATTCCAACTATATGATAAAAGGAGACTGCACTTTGGAATAATTTAATATATGCTTCAGTAAGCCACTCTCTTAGCAAGCCATCTTTCTCCATGTGTGAGATTTTATCCTTCTCATAGGGGTGTTGAAGGCTAATTTCAGTGATCCATATGAAGTGCAGTGTCTGTCTGGCACCTAAGTATTTATTACCTGGAATGCTGACATCTGGGTCGGAGTTGCAGCTGTCCATCTGGAGCTTCATATGGTTCTTCTATCTCGTACACATTTGCGTCAGTATCCTCCAAGCTGCTGGAATTTTGCCTTTCCAACTCTGGAGTTTTCCCTACAGCCATAATAAATGGCAAGTTCTCATACTCTGGTATTTCCTCATAATGGCGTATGTTTTCATACTCGGGTGCACAGCCACTTGTAACAGATTTGCAAGGTGTGTGAGATGATGACTCCCTGGAGAGCAGCTGGTCATCCAAAGACTCAGCTCTTGGTCCATTAGTTGCACTAGTCTGACCTTGAGATTTCTTCCTCTTCTTTTGGAATTCTAGATTACAGTTATCTGCAGAATATGCCTTGATGGGTTTACTTTTCTTCTCTTCCACCAACAAGCCATGCCAGTCACTTTCAATTCCTTTTTGCTCCCCACCTGAGAGGCTGCCTGAGGCTGTGTCTCCAAGTTGGCTACTCTTGGACCAAAATTTCTGGAAGTCACTCTTCATGAAACAGATGGACAGCTTCAGATTGAGCAACTTCCTTAAAGAGGTTTTCTTTTGAGAGTCTTTGCAAGGCTTAGTGCACCTGTCCATATCCACAGCAGATAATGATTTTGCTCTAGGCTTAGTCAGGGCAGTTGAGGGTTCACTATTTGAAGATATAGTTACAGACTTTAAGGATTCTGGGTTTCCTAAAAAGGGTAAAATGGGATGAGGTAATTTCCACACTGGCTTTTCTGAAGGTTGTTTAGGCATATCAAAGGAGGATGACATACCATGGTTTGAGGCACACAAATGATGAAGATGTTTTCTTTCTAGAGCCTTCTCTGAATTTTTTTCTTCATTTGAGGGATAAGAACTTCTCTCCAGAAGCTCCTCTGAGGCAGCCTTCTTAAGCACTCCTGCAGCAGGCAAGCTGTGTCTTTGAGGTTTTTTTGGGATAATTCTTGAGGAACTTTCATCTTTTACTGTAGATTCCTTTTGCATTAGAGGGGCGGACACTCCCAAGTTACAGGCAGTAGGCAAATGTTTGTTGCAAGTTAATTTGAGCTGCTTAGGCAGGCTCATAGATAGAGTACTGCATCTTATAAAACTGGTCCCTTTGTCCACAGGAAGTGACATACTAGAACCGTCTACTGTCTTGCTGTCAGAACTCAAAGTAAACACTGTCTCCATTTTTTCAGAGGAAGATGTGTCATGCCACATAGTTTTCTGTGAATTAACCAAGATATGTCTGTCATCATTGGAGTCCACGTTCAATTTACTTTTATTTCCTGGCTTCCCTTTGTCCACCTGTTCCTGGTAACACAGAACATTCTGATGAACACTGATTTTACTGTTTTTCAAACTATCTTCAGAAAGACAAGAAGAGTTTCTGTCTAAATTCTGTGGTTCTTCAGTATTTTCACTAGGAATATCTATATACTTTTGGCGTAACAGACGAGCAGCTCGTATCTTTCTGGGCTTGGGAGTTGGAAATCTGGGGGTATATGGTACTAAGTGAATTTCTAAGGGATCAAGATCTTTGACATCTGATTTCTTATTAACTCCATCTGAATACAAAAAAGTACTCCTTTTACCATTTTCCAGAGTTTCTTGTTCAGATGAATGAAAGCAAGTACTGCTTTTTTCACTTCCATCCTGACAAGTTTCAAAATTTTGAAATTCATCAGTAGGAAGTTGTACGTGGCAATGGTGCAGATCAGTAACTTTTTCAAAGCTGGACAGGGAAGGTGACAAATCCGCAAATTCAATTCTGAATTGTCTGTTAGAGTTACAGCCATCATTTATTTCTGTGTTGTCTATGGACACATGCTTCTGTGGAGAAATAAAAGGTAATGTTCGTTGTATTAAAACATCTTTGAGCTTCTCTTCTAGAACGTTTGCCTTTGAAACTACTCCAATCTGGCTCTTGATCTTTTCACCATTAGGATCATATTTATTCCTTGTTTTTAAAGATGAAGACAACTCATCAATTTTACCATTTTCTAAATTTTCATGCATTTCCAGAGGCTCTAAGATGAGCTGCTTTACACACAAATTCTGTCTCTTCCCAAGCTTATGGATACAATCAGAACTGCAGGAACACACTGGCAAAATATAATCACTGCTCTGGCTTTTGCAATTAGAATCATCAGTGCTGTCAGGTAATTCCTGTTTATGATCTTCCAAGTTCACGATGAGGTTCCTTGATGGTGACTGTCCAATGTCTTGAACAGGTGAACCCTTCAGGACTTTTGGTTTTGGGGCTATTGCTGGTTTGAGTTTTTTTGTTGGCTGTGGAACACTAGAAATCACAATATCGGGTTTAGGTGCAACAGGAGGTGGAGCTGGCTTATTATTTGCCATGACAAACTTTGGCTTGGGGGCCACTGGTGGCTTCTTAATCTCTAGAAAGGAAAAAATAATAACTCGGTGACAAAAAAAACAAAGCAGAAGATGCTAAATGATTAAATTTGGTAACATTTTTACTTCTGACAATATGGTGAACTTGCTTTCACTGGGTAGATTATGTTACATGATACAGAGTCAATATTACTTTTGAAAATTTCTTAAATTGCCCGCAATTCCAGTACACATGCCTCTGCATATATTGTACATTTCTTAGTAAGCACAATACAGTTTTTCTTCTAACTTTGGAATAGATTAGCATATCCTCAGTTGGCATGAAATGAAATAATTGGCTTCTGCTTGGGACCTGCATAGTAGAAGAAAGCACTTTAGTTCATTTGCTGAGTGCTAAGAGCTCAATCTGCCTAAGTTGTATGTCAATGTAACCCTTAAGTGTCTCATATCAATAAGCAGTAGTATTCTTCTACCTCAGTGATAGACAGTAGTTGTATAAATGTCTTTAATTAATCAATGATCTATCTCACTAGAACCCCAAAACAATCTTAGAAAGGATTACAGACAACAGAAATTTTCCAAACTTAAAAACTGAAAAGTAATTCTTCTGTATTATTCAAGACTCATAATAAATTTGGTGCTTCTCTGTGCAGGTGGTGGCAGCTAGGAATTTTCATTATAATCCTTCATGGAGCTTTATTTTTTAAAAAGTCTGTGTGTAGGTTATACCCTAGATCTATTCAACCTGAGTTGCTGGGTGTAGAGCCTTGGACATCTGTATCTCCTTTAAGTTCTACAAGTGATTACGTTGTATATCCTTCATTAATAACCACTCTTCTAGTCCATTTAAAAGATGAGCATTTTGCCCAAAGCAATTTACAGATTCAATGCAATCCTTATCAAATATCAACAGCATTCTTCAATAAACTAGAACAAATAGCTATGAAATTCATCTGAAACCAAAAAAGACCCTGAATAGTCAAAGCAATCCTGAGAAGGAAGAACAAAGCTGGGGCAATTATGCTCCCTAACTTCAAGCTCTACTACAAAGCCACAGTAATCAAAACCATTTGGCACTGGCACAATAACAGACCCACAGATCAATGGAATAGAATATGAGAGCCCAGATATAAACTCACACATATGTGGTCAACTAATATATGATAAAGGAGCCATGAATATAGAATGGGGAAAAGATAGCCTCTTCCACAACTGGTATTTGCAAAACTGGACAGCTACATGAAAGAGAATGAAACTGGATTATTGTCTAACTCCATACACAAAAGGAAACTCGAAATGGATCAAAGACCTGAATGTAAGTCATGAAATCATAGAACTCTTAGAAGAAAACACAGGCAAAAATCTCTTGAATATAATCATGAGCAATTTTTGCCTGGACACAGCTCCTTGGGCAAGGGAAACAAAATAAAAAAGAATGAGTGGGACTACATCAAACTAAAAAGCTTCTGTACAGCAAAGGACACCATTGCAGAACAAAAAGGCATCCTACAGTATGTAAGAATATATTCATAAAGTACATATCCAATAAGGGGTTAACATGCAAAATATATAAAGAACACATAAGCCTCAACACCCAAAAAACAAATAACGTGATAAAAAAAATGGGCAGGGGACCCAAACAGACAGTTCTCCAAAGAAGAAATGCAAATAGCCAACAAGCACATGAAAAGATACTCCACATCACTAATCATCAGAGAAAGGCAAGCTAAAACCACAATGAGATATCACACCAGTTAGAATGGCCACTATCCAAAAGACAAGAACAACAAATAATGACAAGGATGCGGAGAAATGGGAACCCTCCTACACTGTTGGTGGGACTGCAAATTGATGCAACCACTGTGGAAAGTAGGATGGAGGTTGCTCAAAAAACTCAAAATAGAAATATCATTTGACCCAGTAATTCCACTCCTAGGAATTTACCCAAAGAAAGCAAAATCTCTGATTCAAAAAGATATATGCACCCCTATGTTTATTGCCACACTGTTTGCAATAGCCAAGATATGGAACAACCTAAGTGCCCATCAATAGATGACTGGATAAAGAAGATGTGGCACACATACACAATGGAATAGTATTCAGCCATAAAAAGAAAAGAAATCCTGCCATTTGAAACAGCATGGATAGATTTAGAGGGTATTATGCTAAGTGAAATAAATGAGGTGGAGGAAGATAAAAACCATATGATTTCATTTATTTTTTGAAGCAAAACAGGAGGAACAAAACAGCATTAAACTCATAGACACTGAGAAGTGACTAGTGGTTACCAAGGGGGAAGGGAAGTGGGCAGGGGAGGGAGAGGGGGGACTGCTGAATCAATGTGATGTATGTTTGATAATTTAAAAAATAATAATTAAAAAAAAAGGTGACTGTCATTCTTGTTGTAGCAATTCTTCCTTGGCATTATATAAAAAGTACTTTATCAGCTCCTACTACACTACTAGTAGATTTATACAGACCTGCTCCTAGCCTACAGGAACCTAGTAAATGCCTCATACAAAAGACCTGTAAAATGAAGATATACAGAACCTTAACATTTGTATTTTTTTCTATGGTCTTTTAAGTTTTTCCACCTATAATATCAGTTATCATACTAGTTAGTCATTATCATACTCCTTCAACAGGATCTAAGGCTTAATAAAAACTTAATTTGTTCTTGAATAAAAATAAACATAGATGTTTCAAAATATCTGCAGGACATTGTTTAAATACTTGAATACACAGTGGCTTTGATACTTCATTTAGTGATGATTTTCTTTTCAACAAAGGAAATTAGTCACAACTCTCGGGAAGATATTATAGGGAACTGAAAAAAAAAAAGAGTAGGGCGCCCTACTTCCTTTTACCCAACCAAAAATTTCCTAAACTCCTAATAATATACGTTCAACTATGATCATATGAATAACAAATGACTTCTAACCCAATTCCTAGGTATAATGTTGTGATGAAAAAGGAAATGAAGTATTTCCAAAATAATTTAATACAAATTCCCAAAGCGATACAATTTCAGTTAGCTATTCAATAAGCATGTTACTATTTTGTTCGATTTTTTTTTTTAGGTATAAGAAAATAGTAAAACTACTCAAAGCCTAATGACAAAGCTTGGTTAACAGTCTATTAAATTAAACTCTTGATCTTAAGACAAAGTATGAATGCCCTAGGCCTCTTCCCAACTTTCCATGTAATTCAAGGTAATGCAAACTGACAAAATGTGTTGACTTCATGTCTGAAGCCATTCTTAAAAACTCTGGGGCTTTTTGAAATAGTTTTTAAAAATCAGTTCTGCAAGATTTTTAAAGAGTTTTGGATATTGGTTGCACAATATGTAAAGTATTTATGCGACTGTCCTGTCTGTTTAAAAACGATGGAGATGGCAAATTTACGGTATGTGTATTTCTTTAAAAAAAAAAATCAAAATCCATGTAAATGTAGACTAATATTTTTGAAAAGTTAGCAGAAATCAGACAGAATTTTTGAAGAGGTTATTATTAGTCAGAATAAATGTTTCCATGAAGTCACTGATACAGCCAAATCTGAAATCCTTCATCATCATCATCATTATTTTTTTTTTTTAGTGGCTCTATTTTGAAAGAAACACAACTCAAAAAATAGCAAGCCATTATATTTTGGCCTGCTCCAATGTAAAACCCTTGAAATAAGTGCATTATGTTTGGAAACGAATCCAGCACCTTTGGATCTTAATACTGTATCAACAGACCCAAAGCTTTTTAGAGCAAAGTAGCAAATCTTTTATTTATACAGCTGTTTGGCTCCAGGGAAAAATAAGGTAAGAAAGTAGGGCACTAGTACCATTTTACTATTACAAACATTCTTGTCATCTGTTACACACAGATGGCTGGAGTTCAAGTGTGTACTTTTTAGCTATTGGACCGGAGAAAGAGGCATTAATGAGGCTGTACATGTTCAAAAAGATACAAAACACACACTTGTAATTATCTCTCCTCTTTCATAACCTGATTAGCATAATTCTAAAATCTCTACTATGGGCCTACTCTTCCACAGTTGCAGAAAAAGAAAGCAAGTTCTTCAGAATATATATCTTAAGATGGTCTATATTTTCCTTATTTTCTTGAGTTAAACCAACCATCTCAGATACCACAGATTAAATTCAATATAATTAAACATCCCCTCCCCCAGTTGCAAATAACTTTCCTAAAGTTTTAAAGTATTTGATAATTGTTCCAAAAGCATCATAAACAGCTTGTAAGAAAGATGAACATGTAATTTTATATGAATGGGCTAGAAATAAAGCCCCGGATCTCTTCCATATTCTCCACTTAGACATGAGAATTATAATAAATCTTAACAGATGGATGAGCAAAAAAGTAGTTAAGGAATCTCAGCAAGCCATGCTAAAAACTAACTCAGCTAAACAGGAAGAGTCCCTCTTTTAAACACCACAAAAATGTCTGTGGATTTCCTTAATTACAAAGTTGATAAAATGTAGAAATAGCTTGCATTATTCTAGAGTACCACATGAAAGAATCATAAACTTCCAGACTGAGCCCTAGATCAGGTTTACATATTTAAAAGTCAAATTAAATGTTTCTGTACCTTTTCACTATACACTGTTAGTACTAGAATTGACAACGGATATATATAAGGTATAAATATTTCAAATGATCTGACACTCCAAAAGAATGGAGAGCTAAGATTAGCTGGAAATTTTTCAAAATTTAAATTAGATTGGTTCAGCGATAAAGAAACTTGAACAAAGGTGAAGTGCAAAAATTTAGGATGACAAATATAATTCACCTCAACTAAGCAGAAAGCCTCCTTTTGGTAAGGAAAAGAAAATTTATAAATAGTGTAACTCCCACAGTGTATCACGACGTATCATCTATACATACATATAACATCAAAAACGAAAGATCCACATCTTCAAGAATCCTACCACAGGAATACTTCACTCCTTGCTTTCGAATTCTATTGGCTAACTTCTTGCCTTGTTAGGTGTAATCTGATTACACCGAGCAGTGCAACACTCCAATACAGCAAGGCTTTAGAAATAATACAAATCGGA